CTGAAAGGAAATACAGATTGCCATCTGAATCAGAATCATCATAAAAGAAAAAAAAATCTTACTTCCACCATTTCATTTAAGTAAAACATACAGCAGTGAAGACAAGGATCTAGAAAATCAAATGAATGGTTTATAAAATGACAAAAAAAAAAAAAGAGAAAATAATTATCTGATATCTTTTTCATATGTATGCTTAGTACCATTTAATTGCTGGATTTTCACCCCAAATTATACCCAACATAATCTTAAACTGATAAATTGGATTCCTTATGCAATTTGGTTGAAAAGTAGCAACTTGTTTTCCATTAGTGTGGCTAGTCTGGCAACCATCCTGGTCAAAGGAAAGTATGGTTTCTAAGACAGATGACTACTATGGTTACCATGGTCATTTAAAAAATAATGTAAGTAACTATGGTTGAACTAAATTTTATTACTTAATTTCTTGTGACATTTGACCAGGATGGTTGCCACACTAGCCTCACTTATGGAAAATAACTATGGTAGAGCCAAAGCTGTTTTCTTCATGTAAGAATCTGCAAACATATAGGATATTATTCATCTCTCATTATCTGATCACAATCACTGATCAACTAACTGCATGGTCAATGACCAGAGACTGTAGTGTAGGTTACAATATAATATATATATATATATATATATATATATATATATATATATATATATATATATATATATATATATATATATATATATATATATAAATATATATATATATATATATATATATATATATATATATATATATATATATATATATATATATATATACATACATATATATATATACATATACATATATATATATACATATACATATATATATATATACATATATATATATATACATATATATATATATATATATATATATACATATATATATATATATATATATATATATATATATATATATATATATATATAGATATATATATAAATATATATAAATATATATATATATATATACATATACATATTATATATTATATATATATATATTAATAATTCATATATATATATATATATATATATATATATATATATATATATATATATATATATATATAATCATATATATATATATATAATCATATATATATATATAATATATAATCATATATATAAATAATCATATATGTATAAAATCTTATATATATACATATATATATTTTATATATATATACATATATATATATATATATATATATATATATATATATATATATATATATATATATATATATATATCATATATATATATGGTAAATATTTTATATATATATAAAATCTTATATATATACATATATATATTTTATATATATATACATATATATATATTTATATATAAATATATACATATATAATTACATAATATATAATATATAGTATATAGTATATGGTATATACTATGTAATATATAATATATATTATAACAAAATATAATAAAATATAAAAAAAAATAATATAATATAATATGATGCAATATATCATAATATATATAAATATTATATATATTATATATTTCATATACATTATATTGAACATAAGATATATAATTTAAAATACATAACATATATATAATATGTATTATATATTATAAGGTAGAATAGAATAATATAATACAATATATTATTTACATTATATATAAATATATATATATATATATATATATATATATATATATATATAGAGAGAGAGAGAGAGAGAGAGAGAGAGAGAGAGAGAGAGAGAGAGAGAGAGAGATGGTTCTGGATTTTTACAAAATACATAATTAACCCATTGCTGCTAGGGAAAATGAACAAGAAATGGGGAAAATGCTGTGCTCATTTTTTATTTTTTGTGTGAAATGTCTCTACACATAGATGGCTCTGCCTTACCTGATTTCACCTTTCCTTGAATTAGCAGGAAAATGTATTTTTTACTAGTGCTATGAATATTGATGATGTTATATCTATTATAAACATTATAATTGCTATGTTATAAACATTAGTAATAGTAAAATAAGATAACGTAAACTATTTTCGTTAACTAACCCATTCGCCCCATGTGGCAAGAACACATGCCATGCCTACTGTAACACACATTTATTTATTGTATTTACACATAGATGGCTCTACAAGTTCTTAATCACCAAATAGCTACTTTATCAGAACTACCCATCTCACCTGTTTACTCTTTTCCTTCACTTTAGGAAAGGGTCTTTTATATAATTTCATTGTCTAAAATATTATAATGACAATTTAATAATCATAACATCATAACATCAATAGCAATGGTATTAATAAGAAAAAGTAATTTTCCTGCGAATTCAAGGCATGCACCGCGGGTAAGGACAAAGCCGAGTCAGCACCAGCAGACACACTTTAGCGAGTCAACATTAGTCGACAAAGGCTGGGTTCCCTTCATAGCCCGGGCAAGGGTCAGCACCGCATATCGGACTTAAAAATTAGGATCGGTATCTAGGGCCTACTGATAGATT